TTCTTCTGTCCTTCATTGTCATTACGTTCAATTTTGTTAGTCCCTCCTCGTATCTCAGGCCCCTTAGCAACAAGTGTTGTTGTATACTTCTGCACTTGTTCAAGTTTCTCAACATGTTTCCTCAGGTGTGGGTTGTATACTGGCTCTGCATACTCCAAGATGGGCCTGATGTATGTTGTATAAAGGGCCCAGAATGACTGTTGAGATTCCTGAATGCTGCTTTTCAGTTTCCCAGACGAGCATTGGCTGCAGAGGTTATTCAGCTGCGAGTCTCTGGCGTTATACTGGTCAACATGCTCACCCGCAGGACTGTCTCTTGAATGAAGTTTGCAGCCTCTGTCCGCCTAGTGTATACCCCATTACCAGTCTTCTTGGTTTCTCCCCAATTTTTATGACCTTACATTTACTGGGTTGAATTTAAGCAGTTACTTGTCTGACCACTCTTGCAATTTACCCAGATCCCTTTGGAGCCTCTTCTTGTCCTCATCTGCTGTGTGTGTGTGTGTGTGTGTGTACTCACCTACTTTGTGGTTGCAGGAGTCGATTCACAGCTTCTGGCCCAGCCTCTTCACTGATCACTGCCAGGTTTACTCCCTGCTCCAAGAGCTTTATCATACCACTTCCTGACAACTCTGTGACCGAAGAACTTCCTACATCCCTGTGGCTCATCTGAGTTTTCAACTTACAGTTGGGGCCCCTTGTTGCTGTGTCCCATCTCTGGAACAGTCTGTCCCTGTCCACCTTGTCAATTCCTCTCAGTGTTTTGTACGCCATTATCAAATTCAAATTCATATATTTCTTTGCATAGTATATAATGTTTTTAGTTTACATGTAGTAAAATACTGTTGCACCCCTTGAATATGACCCAATGTATATAATGTATATTATATTATTATAATAAAAAAGAAGCACTAAGCCACAAGGGCTATACAGCACTGCAGGGTAGGGAAGGAAGCGAGGGTATTGGGCGGCAGAACGGGGGAGGGATGATCAGTAGGTTACAGAAAACAGCGGGGCAGGGGATAGTGCGGGGGTAGAGGGTAGTAAGAGATTGAGGTAGAAAGGGCTGAAGGTATTAGAGTTTGTTGTATATTATATGAATATGTTATCTTTCATATAATTTTATATTGCCGATATTTTCATTAATAGCTAAAATGAAAATATCTTGCTGTATATTATTTGACTTTTTATATTAGCTATGTCTGTAGGTAGGAAGTTACATTTACACTTCACTGTGCTCGCTGTTGGAGAGTTGTGACTGGGTGTCCACTCTCACAAACTGCTTTGCTAACTACTGGCTCGCTTGTTTGTGTCAGGCAGAACCTGCCAGCATCGCTGGAGTAGCACTGGCTAGTCACGTGATCACACCTGAAGTTGGATTATTGTTATAATCAAAAAGACCTGAAGTTGGAGCTGCCCTCCATTCCTCCTTTCTCTAGAGCTGGTTCTTGCTTGAGAAACATTTCTCTCTAGCTACTTCTCCTTCGGGAAGCATCTCTCGTCTCTGGTTGTTTGTTCGTGATTTGGACTCTTGTTTTTGGTAGAGTATGATTTTGTTGGAGAGCCAAAGCATACTTTTTGTAACTCTGTTTACAGAGCATTGCTCAGACTGGTGATTTTTGACATTTTGCTGAGGTTGTGGTGCGGAGACGCTCTATACATCCCTGGTCCCAAGTTGAAGCTTCTGGCCTACTTTGTTGCATCTAAGCACTGTCGTAGTCGGGGATTTGGTCATGCTTAATAAAGATGAACCACTGACCTCCATGTATAATAATAATAATGTCTTTATCTCTACATATACAAGGTATACAGGCCTAGATAACACCAATGACATGCTACATTTTCGGCAAATTAGCTAAATTTTGTCCCAGGATGCGACCCACATCAGTCCACTAGCACCCAGGTGCCCACTTCACTGATGGGTGAACATAGACAAGTCAGTGTAAGGAAACACCCAATATTTCTACCCTTGCCCAGAATCAAACCTGGACCCTCACCGTGTGAAGCTAGAGCTTTAGCCACTAGGCAATAACTCTAAGGCTGACAGTGGTAAACTATTTCCTAGATGGGAGATGGCCAGTGTAATAAAAGAAAAAACATTAGGAAGCACTAAATATGCAGAGGTCACACAGTGCCCGGGAAAAAGGAGGCAGGGATGGTTATTACTAGTATATTCAAGGGGAAGCACTAAACCTAAAGAGGTCATACAACAAGGGTATTTTATTTTTTGAAACAGGAGGCTTTTGTCAAAATAAAGGCACACCACCCTCCTAGAAGGGTCAGTTTTTATACTTTCATTTCTATGGATAAGTTTCATAGTCATTGTAGGGTATCACCATTCCTTCACTTGCAATACAAAGCCGACATCTTGCTTTCATTATTAAATTGCCTTAAGAACCCTCTTATTTCTTTCAGCATCTAGTCATTCTTGTATTAAAAGAACAATAAAACTGAGTCAAGAGTCTAGGCTTTGTGGCTCTTTTCTGTATTTTCAATAAACTGAAATAAAATAACCCCATTATGCAATTTTTTTTTTAGCTCTTAACCCTTTCACTGTTAGTACTGTATAAATACATCTTACAAGCCAGTGTTGGTTATGTATTGATGCGCCAAAATTCAAGCGGCTTCAAATCTAGGGGGAGAAAGCTTGTACACCTGCATGTGAGAGAATGGGTCTGCATGGTCAGTGTGTGCAGTATAAAAAGAATCAGGGAGCCAGTGGTGCATTATTGGAGTCCCATTTCAGTAGGCCTTGTTTACCATGCTTTGCAGTAATATATATCTCACTCCCTGGCAAACTGGGATTGTTCTCTTCCCAAGTGATAGTTCTAACAGAGATGGAAATTTCAGTGAAGATGAATTTCATGGTTTTGAGGAGTTTGCGACCAAAAGCAATGCCCAGGATACCAGAAATAGTGCCGAAAACCCAGATGACTATCAACCTAGGATAACCCAAAAAAGTCAAATTAACTTATTTCCTTATGGGTGGTGGGGAAGACAGCATGCTTGTTAAGGAAGACGGTATGGGTAATGGGTGGTGGTGGTGGTTTTGTAATGCGTCATTTGACACCAGCCACTCCACTCTCAGCACAACAACAAAAGGCTACCTTCAACCATCCACACACAAAGAACCTTCCACAAGCTGTAGCAGTTCTAGGAATGTGTTCAGTGACTATTTATTTTTTTTTTTTTCAACAAGTCGGTCGTCTCCCACCGAGGCAGGGTGACCCAAAAAAGAAAGAAAATCCCCAAAAAGAAAATACTTTCATCATCATTCAACACTTTCACCACACTCGCACATTATCACTGCTTTTGCAGAGGTGCTCAGAATACAACAGTTTAGAAGCATATACGTATAAAGATACACAACATATATGTATGTATATATATTATAAAACAATAGTAATAAAAGTAATTTTATTATCGGTTTGTGTAAACACGTCTTGTAAACACTATAATGATGATAATGTTTGTGCGGTTATTGTGTTGCATAGGAGTGGACATATATGCATTACACATTACATTGGTCTCACAGGCCTCAAAAGTTACTTCAAAAAATAATATATTAAACAAAAGAAAAAAGCAGAATAAAAGTAAAAATATTACAGAGTGAGCTGCAGTCGCCGATGTTGCAGTAAGCGGTTCGCTTTGTCAACTTCACACATCTATATTTTGTTAAGTAGTGATCACAGTTTTTTTTTTTCTTTTAAAACTCTCAAAAATATTAAGATTTTGGTAAGAAAATTTTTTTTTTTTTCAAAATATTTTTCGAGACACAGAGGGACTTCAGGATCAGAGGTCTCAACAGTGAAAGGGTTAAGGAATCTGCTTATACTACTCTAGTCCAATTCATTTCACTATCACTAGGTTGAAATATTCCTGGAAATGGGAAGTACAATGCCTGCACTTTAGAGGAGGGGTTTGGGATATTGGCAGTTTGGAGGGATATGTTGTGTATCTTTATATGTGTATGCTTCTAGACTGTTGTATTCTGAGCACCTCTGCAAAAACAGTGATAATGTGCGAGTGTGGTGAAAGTGTTGAATGATGATGAAAGTATTCTTTTTGGGGATTTTTTCTTTTTTGGGTCACCCTGCCTCGGTGGGAGACGGCCGACTTGTTGAGGAGAGAAAAAAAAAAAAAAAAAAAAAAAAAAAAAAAAAAAAAAAAAAAAAAAAAACTCCATGACTTGTTTGGACTGTCTTAACACTTAACTTTTCATTCTTATTACTCCTACCTGAAGGGTATGCCAGGGATGAATGCCCCCATGGCCCAGTCCACGACCAGGCCTGCCAGTGGACCAGGGCCTGATCAACCAGGCTGTTACTGCTGGCTGCATGTGGTCCAACGCATGAACTACAACCCGGCTGATCCAGCACTGACTTTAGGCATCTGTCCGGCTCCCTCTTAAAGACAACCAGGGGTCTACTGGTAATTTCCCTTATGGCTGGTGGGAGGCTGTTGAACAGTCTAGGGCCCCAGACACTGTTTTCTCTTAGTGTAAAGAGCAATCCTTGTCTATCCCTTCTATACACTCAAAGTATTTTTTTGTCATAATTATATTACCTTCCATTATTTATTTCTCCAGAGATGCAGAACCTAGTTCTCATATTCTTTCTTAGTGTATGCAATGAAACAAACTTCTTGTCGAAACTTTTCATTTATTCAAGGTCACCAATAATTTAAAAAAAGCATATTCATTACAGAATTAAGTTTACATACAATTAAAAATGCAAAACTATGAGTACAAGATACAAAATGGTGGGAGCGAGGGCATATTAATACAAATGTAAGCATAGGGTTTCTAGATAGGTCAATGGTGAACAGGCCTAAGTTGGAGACCTCCCTGAGCCCAACTGAAGGACCCCTAGTTAGCAGTTCAAGGCCATGACTACAGGGGGCAGTAAAGATATGCTCCCATATATAACTAAGTAATCTTGGGTTCCAGTAATAATAGCAACACTTAGAAAAGTTATTGCATGACCACAGTGGTTTTCATATAAAACCAATTTTTTTTTCATGCGGTATTCCTCTAAGTATTACAAATTACAACTAGCTGCAACCCTGAAGACATGGCAGCATCCTTCAGAAAGACCCCATTCTCACATGTCTATTACATACCCACATACAAAACCCTACAAATAAGCTTACTACTAATAGTGTTGATAAACATGCAACATGTTAAAATTGTGTACGACTGAAGTCACAGGTTAGGAGACCAGAGATTGAAAAAAGATATATTTCATAAAAATTTCATACCATGAACTTTGTATTAATCCCCACCCACTTTGTGGAAAACGTCAGATTAACTTTTTAAAAGTTTTTCTGCCAATGTTCTAATTTTAGTCTGATATAAATGCAATAAGTTATATCCCTATCATGGGATTTTGAAAATACTGATAGCAATACAAAAGCATACACAAGATTGCAGGCAGAGTAGAACCATTAACATGGCATACATTTGCCAATGATCATAGTGTCCCAGCAGCAAAGAGAGAGGTAGGAACACATGAATATCACTTGTGTGAGGTGACCGGCTGATGATGATGCTGCTGACACCTTAGACATTTGGCTTTATAACCTTACTTGCCCTGTGTTTAATAAGTGTTTATCGTGTGTGTGCATGTGTGTTTACGCATGTCTGTAATTACCTATTTTTTAAATAGGTAATTACCTTTTTTAATTACATATTTTTGATAGATAATTACCTGTCTTTCAGTAGGTAATTACCTAGTTTTTAAATAGGTAATCACATACACACAACGTGCATGCTTGTGTACGTGCATGCACGTGTTAACAGTTATTTTTTTTTTTTTTGTTTTTAACTGTGGCCTGCCAGCCATCAAATTTCTGGGCAGTATTAATTATCAATTCATACTATGGTCATCCTACAATCACTAAATGACGTTTCTTGTCCCTGGGGTGTTGCTAATGGCAGTGTTTATCAAGTTGATCCCTCCTCTACACAATTTCAATGCTAAAAATGTTTGAGATATTAAAGACCATACACATATGCCATGCTGGCAGTGAGGAGGCTCACACCAGAAACTGGGGGTTGACAGCTGTTAATATTTTTTTTAATCAAAATGGAAAATATGCACATTAAAGGCAACCTGCCTTGAAAGATGTGACAGGCCAGGTAGAGTATCTCTTGAGCCTTGAAGTGATTTTAATTCCTAGGCTCCCTCAACTGTATCATGACACAAACACCCCCTTTCACCACCACCTCCGCTACACAATCCTGGGGGAGACTGCTGGTTTTTCTCAATGGCAGTTGTACATATCTTCAATACAGATATTGGGATGTGCTATTTTGCAATGCATAAAAGTCGTCAAATGACAAAACTGCCCACATTCTCCTATATGACTTTCTTCACCGACTGGTATTTTAAATAATGTTTTTAAATAAGCACATTTTGCTAATGAGTGGATATGTATAGAGGTGGTGGCAAATCTTGGATTCACAGTTAATATGCACAGGAAACAAATCCTCTACCTAAATCTCCAGATTCAGACGGAATGTTTGCATACACCAACTCGGTCACTAATGTACAGGAATTGGACAGTTCCAATCAACCTAAGCTCTTTCCATATATTTTTGTTCATATATCATTGGTCTTACAGCAGGCTGCAACTTTCTGCTGACACAAACAAGGAGTTGTAATTTTGTGGCATGTACAATGGAATGTGCTGCTTCCCAGTGGATGCCTGCACATTGAGAAGCAAGAAGTAATTAGACAGGTACACACACACAATCCTTTCCCAAAGATTCAAGTTAGAAGAACAATAAAACAGCCAGGCACGTCATTCTGTCGGCAAGGTCATGTCTGTTCGTGGACTTGCTGTAACATGAGACAGCCGAATCACATTTAAAAGGTGGTACCAGCAGTTAAAGCCTTGATCACTTGTACTTGAATATTATTTTGTGAATGGTAGATGCTATTGAAGAAGGGCTGGAACCACTGTAATCTGTCCTACAAACTCTTTGGCGGTGGCATGACTAGCAAGATCCAACAATGTGTTTCTCTATATCACAACCAGTCCGTGTCATGACCTGGGAACCTCAAGCTCATTTGTACTTTTGGACAAACACTAACACCTTAACTCAAGCGCCTTGGTCATCAAAAACTTAATGCTACACAAGTCATGTGGCAGTAGGAGGGCAATGTGAGGTCTAGTCACAAACTGACAATAAAATTGGATGAAGGTTGACTAAAGTATTTTTGATCCTTGGTTCAACAAAATTCATATAATTCACTGCTGCTTGTTATGAGTTCACAAAATGCAATATTCACAAAAGATTACTGAAAACTGTTCCCTTAACGTGAATCACTCGTGGTGCAGATGAATATAAGCTTCAGTTGCCTCCTTATTCTCTCCAGAACATGTTGCTATCATGGCAGTGCCTATGGCTTGTGTCACATAAATAAAGATCAATGTCCACCATATCTCAGGGAACTTGGACCTTTCTTGTTTGGTAAAATATGAACAACCTGATGTATTTTAATATATAATAAACCCCTAATAAGTCCCAGTTTTAGCTTGGTCTCATATTCTGGGCTTATAGGTAAGGGAAACGTGTACTCTTTGGACGTCTGTTTCTGTACAGTCATGATCAGTGAGAGCAGGGGAGGGGTCAGGTACTGGGGGAGTTGCTAGTCGACGGGGACTAGACATATAATCTCCAGCATGTGATGGGGTCTTTACATCTGCACTTGATGATCTTCCCCTTGATCCTTTCTGTCCATTTTCTTTATCCTTTTTACTTGAAGAGCGCCGAACTAATTTGCGGTCTTTATCCTTACTAGATGAACGTCGAATTGAGCTCCCCACATTTTCACTACTTCCTCCACCTGTTTGGGTAAGAAATTATGTTGCAATTATTCTTGCTAATAGCCTTATTGTCAATTTTTTCTTATTCTAAAATTTGTATCCTTTCATACATAAAAAGTTAGGAGATGGAAATTAATGTATACAGTGCCACAGGGATGTGACCCCATGAGGTAATGCCTGTTGCATTGTTGCTGCACTACCTAAACTACAGTGGAACCTCAGTTTTCGTGATTAATGCATTCGAAAAAGTTTCACGATAAACCAAACTGTACGAAAACTGAACCAATATTTCCCATAAGAAATAATGTAAATCCAATTAATCCGTTCCAGACACCCACAAATATTAACAAAATATACTTTTTATAGAGAATAACTATAGCTTTACATACAAACTAGGGCATATGAAAACCAAGGTTCCATTGTACTGAGAAGTTGGACATGCCATACTACATTTTTTCTTTCAACACTTCGGCTGTCTCCTACTGAGGCAGGGTGACTCAAAGAAGACATACTTTCACCATCACACAATCACTGTTTTTGCAGAGGCACTCAGATACAATAGTTTAGATATCACTCCAAGCAGCCAATATCCCAAACCCCTTCTTTAAAGTACAGGCATTGTACTTTCCACCTCCAATATATATACTGTATGGCAGGGTAGGGGTCACCCTAGGAAAGGTTGGTAGGAGGTGGTAAAGGAGGTTTTGTGTGCAAAGGGTTTGGACATCCAGCAGGTGTGAGTGAGATAGGAGTGGAAGCAAAGAGTTTTTGGGATTTTATGAGCTGTTGGAGTGTGAACAAGGTAACATTTTGTGAAGGGATTCATGGAAACCAGTTAGCCAGACTTGAGCCCAGGATAAGTACAGTGTCTGCACTCCGAAAGAGAGGTAGGGATATCTGCAGTTTTAGGGGTTGCACCTTAACTGTGGGATTGGCATACTGCTGGATGTTTTTTTTTTTTTTTTTTTGGTCACCCTACCTTAGTGGGAGATACCTGGTATAAAAAAAAAAAAAAAAAAAAAAAAAAAACTGAACTCAGTAAAGCCAAAAGTTTGATAACTTTCACTGAGCACTTCAAATTTTCTCATTTTAAATGGACCCATTAAAAAAATAAAAAATAACTTATAAGAATATAAAAATGAAAATGTAAAGAAGTAGGAAAGAAGGAAGAAGCTTTGAAAATGGAATAGTGGAAAAGAGAAAGCCAGAGCCAAATGGTTTATTATAATTAGTCTAAGACAGAAACCTGTATTTGTTTTACATGATGATAGGAGTGCTGATGTCTTTTTTTTTTTTTTTGTCTCAACACACAAGATAACAGGGTATATCTTGCTACTTTTACTTACAATTAGGTCATACTACATATGTATGTACATATTTATGTATACACACTCATCTGAGTTTTCTTTGGTTTTTCTTAATAGTTCTTGTTCTTATTATTATCCTTTCACATCCATGAGGAAGTGGAATAAAAATTTTTTTCCTCCGTAAGCCATGCGTGTTGTAAAAGTCGATTAAAATGCTGGGAGCAATGGGCTAGTAATCCCTTTTCCCATACAGCTTAATAAAAATAAAAGGAAGGGCTTGAGATAATGGCTGTTTCAAGTGACACCTAAACTGTCATATTTGGGCACCTCTGCAAAGACAGTGATTATGTGTGAATGATGGCAAAAGTGTTTGTTTCTTTTCTGGGTCACCCTGCCTAATTGGAAGACAGCCGGAGTGTTGGAAAAAAAAATATTTATTTCTACATGTACATTTTTTTTTTTTTTTTTTCAACAAGTCAGCCGTCTCCCACCGAGGCAGGGTGACCCAAAAAAGAAAGAAAATCCCCAAAAAGAAAATACTTTCATCATCATTCAACACTTTCACCACACTCACACATTATCACTTTTTGCAGAGGTGCTCAGAATACAACAGTCTAGAAGCATACACATATAAAGATACACAACATATCCCTCCAAACTGCCAATATCCCAAACCCCTCCTTTAAAGTGCAGGCATTGTACTTCCCATTTCCAGGACTCAAGTCCGACTATATGAAAATAACCGGTTTCCCTGAATCCCTTCACTAAATATTACCCTGCTCACACTCCAACAGATCGTCAGGTCCCAAGTACCATTCGTCTCCATTCACTCCTATCCAACACGCTCACGCACGCTTGCTGGAAGTCCAAGCCCCTCGCCCACAAAACCTCCTTTACCCCCTCTCTCCAACCCTTTCGAGGACGACCCCTACCCCGCCTTCCTTCCCCTATAGATTTATATGCTTTCCATGTCATTCTACTTTGATCCATTCTCTCTAAATGACCAAACCACCTCAACAACCCCTCTTCTGCCCTCTGACTAATACTTTTATTAACTCCACACCTTCTCCTAATTTCCACACTCCGAATTTTCTGCATAATATTTACACCACACATTGCCCTTAAACAGGAAACATCTCCACTGCCTCCAACCGTCTCCTCGCTGCTGCATTTACCACCCAAGCTTCGCACCCATATAAAAGTGTTGGTACTACTATACTTTCATACATTCCCTTCTTTGCCTCCATAGATAACGTTTTTTGACTCCACATATACCTCAACGCACCACTCACCTTTTTTCCCTCATCAATTCTATGATTAACCTCATCCTTCATAAATCCATCCGCCGACACGTCAACTCCCAAGTATCTGAAAACATTCACTTCTTCCATACTCCTCCTCCCCAATTTGATATCCAATTTTTCTTTATCTAAATCATTTGACACCCTCATCACCTTACTCTTTTCTATGTTCACTTTCAGCTTTCTACCTTTACACACATTCCCAAACTCATCCACTAACCTTTGCAATTTTTCTTTAGAATCTCCCATAAGCACAGTATCATCAGCAAAAAGTAACTGTGTCAATTCCCATTTTGAATTTGATTCCCCAAAATTTAATCCCACCCCTCTCCTGAAAACCCTAGCATTTACTTCCTTTACAACCCCATCTATAAATATATTAAACAACCATGGTGACATTACACATCCCTGTCTAAGACCTACTTTTACCGGGAAATAGTCTCCCTCTCTTCTACACACCCTAACCTGAGCCTCACTATCCTCATAAAAACTCTTTACAGCATTTAATAACTTACCACCTATTCCATATACTTGCAACATCTGCCACATTGCTCCTCTATCCACTATCATATGCCTTTTCTAAATCCATAAATGCAATAAAAACTTCCCTACCTTTATCTAAATACTGTTCACATATATGCTTCAACGTAAACACTTGATCTACACATCCCCTACCCACTCTGAAACCTCCTTGCTCATCCGCAATCCTACATTCTGTCTTACCTCTAATTCTTTCAATTATAACCCTACCGTACACTTTTCCTGGTATACTCAGTAAGCTTATTCCTCTATAATTTTTACAGTCTCTTTTGTCCCCTTTCCCTTTATATAAAGGGACTATACATGCTCTCCGCCAATCCCTAGGTACCTTCCCCTCTTTCATACATTTATTGAACAAAAGTACCAACCACTCCAACACTATATCCCCCATGATACAACTTATACAGACCTAGCTGACATCAATGACTTACTGTACAGAAAGCCCCTTGTTACACAGAGCATTTTGGGTAAATTAGGTGAATTTTGTCCCCAGGATGCAACCCACACCAGTTAGCTAACACCCAGGTACCTACTCACTGCTAGGTGAATAGGGACAGCGAATGTTTCCACCCATACTGGGGATCAAACCATGGACTTCAATGTGCGAGCTGAGTGGAAATGAGAGTTACTAAATATGAAGTTGCAGATTTGTACCCCATACAGCCAAATAAAACTGAGAAAATTGAAATATCACAAGAGAAAGTAAAGAAGCTAATACAGATACTGTCAAAAACAAGTAAAAAGAGAAGATAGCAGCATGCTCTTACTGTACATCATGCCAGGGTCCATCATGTAGTTCTACCTCATGAGCTCAACTCACTCAGATAAGCTGTGAGGGGTGAATTTTAGCCTAGATATGCCACCCTGCCTTGGTGGGATACGGCCAGTTTGTTGAAAGAAGAAGATATGAGAGAATGGGTCTGTGTGGAGTGTGTGTACAGTATTAAAGAAAATCCTGCCTCATAAGATGCATGGAAAAAAATCAGACCTATTGTCTGGTTGAAAATAGTGACAGGTGTGTGTTCTAGGATGGCTTTTATCGTTTTATTATTCTTATTTATTTATTTATCTTGGTATCATTTGATAGACTGGAAGACATACTACAGGAAATATATGATGATTTTGGTTGGTTGCAGGATGAAGTAGCTTGAAATCATCTCATAGTAGTGGAAATATTTGAATTTTTGCCAAATTTCCATGGGAATGGATAAAGCCCCCCTCAAGTCTGTTTAATGGGATTTTGCAAAGTATAACTCACCTACTGAAACACCATAAACCATGACCAATCATTTCTGGTTAGATTTTGTTATCCGAGAAATAGGGTGAATAAAGTGTAATAGTATAGAAGCCTGGGGATGTGGTTAGTAAACAGAGGAAATGTTAGTGCCTGGAATGTCTACAGCATTTATTTTTGGCTTTTTAAATTGTTTTTTTTTATTCTAAAATTGGACAAATTACTGACTCCTGTGCACTTTGTAAGGTACTTTTGATAGTTGAATGGGCGGTTTCCTGTCCTCAATTGATAGAATGAAATGCATACCAGCAAATAGCTAAGAATTTGATTACACTGAGTAACAGGATTAGCTTAAAATGGGACTCAAAATTGGAGAAATCACTGATGCTTAAATTATGCCCAGACTTCTAACATTGCACCTGCATAATTTCCTAAGTCTTCCATCAAATTTAGTAATTTTGGCATCATAACCTTCAGAAAAAGACCCTTAACCATTTCAGATTTTTTTTTTTTTTTAAATCATGGATACTGAATGCTTTAAAGTTTGGGGATCTGGATAGTGAGAGTGTTCAAGAATGTGCAGAACTAAGCTATCCAATCTGAAATTGCGTGGGAAATTCACTACAAGGGAGATGGAGAAATGGAAAATTAAACCAACTATTCTATTTATAAAATGGTGACACAGAAAACCCTTTAAACTAAGAACCTCTTTCACTGAAAAGTGTATAAACAATGAAAAAATATCAGTTGATTAAACAAATGGAGAGCAAAAAATCTAACTAGCAAACAGTACAATAAGCAAAGTATTGTGTATCAAATTAATACAGTGGTACCGTGACTTACGAGTTTAATTCGTTCTGTGACTGAGCTCATAACTCAATTTGCTCGTATATCAAATAAATTTTCCTCATTGAAATTAACTGAAATGCCATTAATCCATTCCAGACCCAAGAAAACCACCCCAATTTCTTTGTTATGGGTTTTTAAATAAGAAAAATGTATTTATAAATAATGATTTTTGCCTTTTTTGCCAGGTCCCAGCAATGTTTTAGAAATGCTGAAGTATACATGAAACTCCTTGAAGAATGGTTTAAGATGAGTGCCACTCCACTGTAAATACTGCAACAGTGGAGTGATATTTGATGATTATGCACTGCCTTGGCTTTATTTTTCACTGTTACACATAAACATGTCTATCTGTTTCTATTTGTCTGTCAAGCTCTATGTTTATCTCTGTCTCTGCTCATCTTTCTGTCTGCCTGTGTTTCTGTCTTCTTGTCTCTCTACTTGTCTGTCTCAGATAGAAAGCCACTTATGAACCAACAGGTATTACACACGATGCAGAATCGATGACTTTTCTGATTCCTGAACAAGTGAAAATGTGCATTACTTGCCAGTCATGTTTATTATGCCTTATATCTACAAGCATAGTATAGCACTTTGGATTTTTTTACAATATGTATAACTGTATTTATGTGTACCTGTGAGATAGAGATATACAGAGACAGACAGAAAGACACACACAGACAGATAGATACAGACAGACAGGAGATAGAGCCAAAGCAAATCAGCCAGCTAGCTGGCCACCCAACCAGCCAGCCCTGCCAAACATGTATTATGCATGTTCCAGAATTTTCTCCTTACTTAGGACATACATTATAGAACATTCTGGCAGGATAACACTACTAGTGGTATCAAAATTGAAAGGATGTCACACATTGGTTATTATCGAGGTTTTTTATATTTCCTCGGTATTTCCTGCGAGTGGCGCCGTATCTGAAGCTCGTTCGTAACTTGGATTTTGGCTTGCAACTCAAAGCAAAAATCGACCGAGTGACGGCTTGTAACTCAGAAAACTCATAAGTTAGGGCACTCATAAGTCACGGTACCACTGTAGTTGGTGAAACTATTTAAAAAAGAAATGGATGGGCAGATACTTAGATTTCAAGAATGGTAATAGCTCTTCATGAAACCACAAAATGTAGGAGGCATCAAAGCAAAACCTCTTGCAGGGACAAGAGATTCTATTTCAAAGATAAATACGTACAAATAGTGATACACAGAAAATATCCTCATGGGAATATGTCACTAGTGGAGTGCCACAAGAATCTATGCTTGCCATGATAGTTGTAATATACTAAATTATCTGCCAGAAGGAATAAACCTACACGCATGCCCCACTTTACAGCATTTCACTGATACAGCAGTTTTCAATTATACTCATTCCTCATTTATTCAGAATTCCTACAATAAATATATTCATCACTTGCTATAAGCTAACAACGAAAATATTTAAGGTGAAGTAATGTGTGAACTGTATATGCATTTTTTTTTAGCCTAGCTGTACTGCTCACTTAATATATGATAGTATAAACATGTTATCAGGCTTTTACATGCATTTGAAAGTGAAAAAAAGACTGATTCACTTTACAGTGATTTTAGATTTACAACAGAAGCCCAGAGCCTACTTGCTGTATAAGTGGGGGGCCTCCTGTATAAGATTGTGTTTGTGGAGGATGCAAAGACCCTAAACAAAACAATGAGCAACTTATTTCATGCAGAAATTAATATGGAATGCTTTGATAAACACCAAAGTATTTTAATGAAAGTTGTATCACTTTCAAACACAAGGGGAAATTTTTTTTTTATCATCATTATTATCACACTGGCCGATTCCCACCAGGGCAGGGTGGCCCGAAAAAGAAAAACTTTCACCATCATTCACTCCATCACTGTCTTGCCAAAAGGGTGCTTTACACTACAGTTTTTAAACTGCAACATTAACACCCCTCCTTCAGAGTGTAGGCACTGTACTTCCCATCTCCAGGACTCAAGTCCGGCCTGCCGGTTTCCCTGAGCCCCTTCATAAATGTTACTTTGCTCACACTCCAACAGCACGTCAAGTATTAAAAACCATTTGTCTCCATTCACTCCTATCAAACACGCTCACGCATGCCTGCTGGAAGTCCAAGCCCCTCGCACACAAAAAATCCTGAAAAATGAAGGTAAATGGTTACAACAAATAAAATAAACAGATTAAAGGCCCTGAGAAATTTGTAAAAAGATTTTTGCAAACCTGAAGGGGGTCTATTGATGGATCCTGAGCGCAGTATATAAACAGCATGAGGTTGACATTCAACATCAACTGGTGTTAATGGTGATGCATGTGGAGAATGAGATAAAAACCACTCACTGCGTGTCCGCATCCTCTCAGTCTGTCTTTCATGTACCTGTCCGAGTCAAAATCAACAATAAACATACAACCTCTAAAACAAAGAATGTGCAGCAGTCACATTATTCAATGTTTGACTTGTTTACCACTAAAAATATCCATAGTACAACTATGACTACTTATGTTAATACTTAATAAAATTACAAACCTTGTTTATTATTACAGAATAAATATTTAATATCTTCAAGATTAATTTGTTAATTATTATATGTTAATTTATTCTTAAATGTAAACTAACATTTATAATACTGAACCATAATTATAGGAAGGATCACTAGTGTTTGTTTTTCTAAGATGTTACTGTTATGATTTCAAGAAAAGAACTATTTCAAGGAGTTTTATCTCTTTCCAATAATAACCACTTACAAAGAATGTCAATTCTTTTCCAAATGAGAAAAGATAGTATATAAGCTGAAAATCCTAAGAAAATAACAGCAAAACAAAAAATGCTAATTACAAGGAATGAGCATAAACTATTAGGTTATATAAACAAAATTCCTCAATTATCCCTGGTTAAGCAGGATTTATAACAAAAAAACATTACAATAAAATAGTACTCAAATAAAAATTTTAAGCAATATTTATACACTGTAGTGACTAATTAAAAACTAACTCAGTTTTGCACTACAATAAAAAAAAGCTTTATATAATAAAAATTACTACTACTACTACTACTGCTGCTGCTATAAATGTAAGTAGGCAAGACATGCAGATTAATGTTAAAGCAAAGATTCAACAAATTAAAAAAGTAAAGAAAAAGATTATAAAAAATATATAACACAAACACCTTAAAAATAAAGCAACTGCATATGAGCAATGAGCCTCTCAGTCCGTCTCATGCCTACAAATATCCAATTTAGGATTTGCACATGTAGTGTGAATTCAATTTTTAAGTTTTATTTTCCCACACAAGAGCCTTGCTGAATGCCAGATTAGGTAAGATGTCAATGCTTTCTACACAGGAATTTTTGACACAATTCTAATATTTATAGGCAATATTACTTTCTATTTAAAATTCTCAGTAAAATATAAACTCCTAATATCAGTCTTTATAATTACTGCTGAAGAGAATCTCAGACTGAGATTGAACTACTGTATACAGATCACCCAGTCTCCTGTCTTAGTCTGCCTATGACAAATGTTCATGACACACTGAAGTTCCATGCATGTGTGTCCATGTGTGCATGCATGCACACATTGGCTGTCTCCTGCCAAGGCAGGGTGACCCAAAGAAAACACATTCTCCAACATTCACTCATCTGCCATCCTTCCAGAAGTGTGCTGCCATCACAATCAGATTACCACTTCAACTACAACATCTCCATCCCTCCGTCAGAATGAAGGGACTGCTCTTCCCACCTCTAGAACTTGAGTGCAAGCAAATGGTTTCTCCTGAATCCCTTTCTAAACATTACCTTGATCTCACTCAAGCAGCACATTTTATTTATATTTAATATATATTATATATATATATAATATACATATATATATTTTTTTCAACAAGTCGGCCGTCTCCCACCGAGGCAGGGTGACATAAAAAAGAAAGAAAATAACCAAAAAGAAAATACTTTCATCATCATTCAATACTTTCACCACTCACACATTATCACTGTTTTTGCAGAGGTGCTCAGAATACAACAGTTTAAAAAGCATATACTTTATAAAGATACACAAATATCCCTCCAAACTGCCAATATCTCAAAACTCCTCCTTTAAAGTGCAGGCATTGTACTTCCATTTCCAGGACTTAAGTCCGACTATATGAAAATAACCGGGTTTTTCCCTGAATCCCTTCACTAAATATTACCCTCCCTCACACTCCAACAGATCGTCAGGTCCCAAGTACCATTCGTCTCCATTCATCCTACCTAACACGCCGCCCCCACGCTTGCTGGAAGTCCAACCCCCTTGCCCACAAAACCTCTTTACCCCCTCCTCCAACCCTTTCGAGGACGACCCCTACCTCGCCTTCCCTTTCCCCCTATAGATTTATATGCTTTCCATGTCATTCTACTTTGATCCATTTCTCTTAAATGACCAAACCACCTCAACAACCCCTCTTCTGCCCTTGACTAATATTTTATTAACTCCACCCCCTTTTCCCTAATTTCCACACTCCGAATTTTCTGCATAATATTTACACCACACATTGCCCTTTTAGACAGGACATCTCCACTGCCTCCAACTGTCTCCTCGCTGATGCATTTACCACCCAAGCTTCACACCCATATAAGAGTGTTGGTACTACTATGCTTTCATACATTCCCTTCTTTGCCTCCATAGATAACTTTTTTTTTGACTCCACATATACCTCAATGCACCACTCACCTCTTTTTCCTCATCAATTCTATGATTAACCTCATCCTTCATAAATCCATCCGCCGACACGTCAACTCCCAAGTACATATCTGAAAACGTTCACTTCTTCCAATCCTCCTCCCCAATTTGATACCCAATTTTTTCTTTATCTAAATCATTTGATACCCTCATCACCTTACTCTTTTCTATGTTCACTTTCAACTTTCTACCTTTACACACATTCCCAAACTCATCCACTAACCTTCGCAATTTTTCTTTAGAATCTCCCATAAGCACAGTATCATCAGCAAAAAGTAACTCTGTCAATTCCCATTTTGAATTTGATTCCCCAAAATTTAACCCACCCCTCTCCCAAACACCCTAGAAATTTACTTCCTTTACAACCCCATCTATAATATATTAAACAACCATGGTGACATTACACATCCCTGTCTAAAAACCTACTTTTACCAGGAAGTAGTCTCCCTCTCTTCTACACACCCTAACCTGAGCTCACTATCCTCATAAAAACTCTTTACAGCATTTAATAACTTACCACCTTTTCCCAATATACTTGCAACTCTGCCCACATTGCTCCTCTATTTCCACTCTATCATATGCCTTTTCTAAATCCATAAATGCAAATAAAAACTTCCCTACTTTATCTAAAAACTGTTCACATATATGCTTCAATGTAAAAAACTTTGATCTTCACATCCCCTACCCACTCTGAAACCTCCTTGCTCATCCGCAATCCTACATTCTGTCTTACCCCTAATTCTTCAAATTATAACCCTACCGTACACTTTTCCTGGTATACTCAGTAAACTTATTCCTCTATAATTTTTACAGTCTCTTTTGTCCCCTTTCCCTTAATATAAAGGGACTATACATGCTCTCCCCCAATCCCTAGGTACCTTCCCCTCTTTCATACATTTATTAAATAAAAGTACCAACCACTCCAACACTATATCCCCCCCTACTTTTAACATTTGCCATGATCCCATCAGTTCCAGCTGCTTTACCCCCTTTCATTCTATGTAATGCCTCGCGTACCTCCCCCACACTTACATTCTGCTCTTCTTCACTCCTAAAAGATGGTATACCTCCCTGACCAGTACATGAAATTACTGCCTCCCTCTCTTCCTTAACATTTAAAAGTTCCTCAAAATATTCTCGCCATCTACCTAATACCTCCGTCTCCCCATCTACTAACTCCCCTACTCTGTTTTTAACTGACAAATCCATACTTTCCGTAGGCTTTCTTAAATTGTTTAACTCACTCCAAATTTTTTTTCTTATTTTCATTTTAAAAATTTTTTGACAGGTGTTTCTCCCACTCTATCATCTGCTCTCCTTTTGCACCTCTACCACTCTCTTACCTTTCTTTTACTCTCCATTAAATCTTTCTCTTCTTTTTAACACTTCTGCTTTGTAAAAAAAAATCTCATAAGCTAAACCCTTTTTCTCTTTTATCACAAACCCCTTTACTTCATCATTCCACCCAAACCCTCCTCTTTCCTCCTGCCCCCACCCTCCTATAACCACAAAGTTCTGCCCACATTTAATACTGTATTTTTAAAAACTATTCCAACCCTCTTCAACCCCCCTACTACTCATTCTTTGCACTAGCCCACCTTTCTGCCAATAGTCGCTTATATCTCACCCGAACTTCCTCCTCCCTTAGTTTATACACTTTCACCCCCCTCTTACTTGTTGTTGCCACCTTCCTCTTTTCCCATCTACCTCTTACTCTAACTGTAGCTACAACTAAATAATGATCCGATATATCAGTTGCCCCTCTATAAACATGTACATCCTGGAGCCTACCCATCAACCTTTTATCCACCAATACATAATCTAATAAACTACTTTCATTACGTGCTACATCATACCTTGTATATTTATTTATCCTCTTTCATAAAATATGTATTACTTATTACCAAATCTCTTTCTACACATAGCTCAATTAAAGGCTCCCCATTTACATTTACCCCTGGCACCCACAAATTTACCTACTACTCCCTCTATAACATTTTTTACCCACTTTAGCATTGAAATCCCCAACCACCATTACTCTCACACTTGATTCAAAACTCCCCACGCATTCACTCAACATTTTCCAAAATCTCTCTCTCTCTCTCCTTTACACTTCTCCCTTCTCCAGGTGCATACACGCTTATTATAACCCACTTTTCACATCCAAACTTTATTTTACTCCACATAATCCTTGAATTATACATTTATAGTCCCTCTTTTCCTGCCATAACTTATCCTTCAACATTATTGCTACTCCTTCTTTAGCTCTAACTCTATTTGAAACCCCTGACCTAATTCCATTTATTCCTCTCCATTGAAACTCTCCCACCCCCTTCAGCTTTGTTTCACTTAAAGCCAGGACATCCAGTTTCTTCTCATTCATAACATCCACAATCATCTCTTTCTTATCATTTGCACAACATCCACGCACATTCAGACTTCCCACTTTGACAATTTCTTATTCTTTTTAGTAATCTTTACAGGAAAAGGGGTTACTAGCCCATTGTTCCCGGCATTTTAGTTGACTTTTACAACACTCATGGCTTACGGAGGAAAGATTCTTATTGCACTTCCCCATGGATATAAAAGGAAAAGTAATAAGACCAAGACCTATTAAGATAAAATCAAAGAAAACTCAGATGAGTGTGTATAAATAAATGT